TTTGATTGATCCAATCTTTTCGTGTTAACCATCATTTTTACCGGCAAAACAAATTCATCCCATGAGAGATATGGAAGTGAGTAACGAAAAAACGAGCCTTTCTGTGAACTGAGCAAGAGTAAATTGAAAACAAAAAAGGTGAAAATGAAAAAAAGCTCAAAACATTTTCTTCATTAAATCAGATTTGATCAATTTTAATTGTTGATCAAAAGCATAGATACTTGTTGAATTAGAACAGAATTCAAAGAAATTTAAAACGTGCTAAAGTGCCCAAATTTGATCGAGCTTAATGAGCACAAATTTCAGTTTAACATTTTTGTCCGCAACGATACCAGCCAATCATCAAAAGTGCAACGGCAATGCATCGACTTCTCGGTCAAGTAAATCTTAACCATGAGCCTGACTCTATGCGGTCCACTGGTTGACAAAGCCATTAATTGGCTTCCCTTAACCAGACGTGTGACTACATCTTGGGTCGACTCTTGGAGTTGGATTGACTGCATCACATCAAGTTGGTCTTGAGACAGGCAAGTCCCAAGCTTCACGTGATCTCCATAGTATCAACGTCTTCATTTAATGCAACAAACTGCAGGCTTTTAGGTTGGCTTACTTGTTGGATCATTTGATTCACGTCAAATTGACAAGGCAACAAGGGAAACATTTTCAATACTTTTTTTTCCTCTTCAAGTTACAATTATAGTTTAAACTGACTGTGAGTAAACAAACAAGAGGAAACAGTTATAGATGGCAACAAAGTCAACACTTATTACTTTCAAGTTGATGTAAATTGTTTTGAAACAATTTTTCGTTCAACTGTTTAACGCTTAAAAACATCAATTTTCATTAACATAATTGTCAATTATCATGTAAAATAGATGTTATTTTCCTTCCTCTCTTTCATTCTTTATCCATCTTCTTCTTTCTTCATCTTCTCATCTCCAACTCAAACCGTTTGCCAATAAATATAATTAGGTGAATAAGTAATTACCAAGTAAATATATATTTTCGCGACAATTTTTCTCCTTCTCCATGTCAAACCGACAACACATTCATCTTTTCCTCTACTCTCATCCCTATCATCATCATTTTCATCCTTGAATTCTTTCCTTGTTCAATAGTTGATTCATGATACTTTACCAATCTAGTCTTTTCATATTCTTCATCTCATCTCATTTCTCATTTTTTTCCTTCTTTCACTGATTTACCTTTTTCCCAATTCATCTTCTGATTGTCCCTTTATTTATTATTACATTTCTCGACTTCGACACTTTCCAGTCGGCAAGTTCATGAAATTGCAGATTACAATAGAAAAGGTAAAATGCACAACAGTAAAAAAAATGAAAACAGTGAAAGATTATCTGAGAATTTGAAGAAAAAAAAAGTTTGACAGGTTTTCCATTTTTCCATGGAAAATGATGGCTTTGGAAAAAAGAAAAGAACACAAAGTTTCAGAACTTTTTGCACCTTGTTCACCATCATGTTAACCCAACCTTTGAATATTGCAATTGCAAGTTTTCCATGTAAAAGTAATCACTAACCAAAGTGAACATGATCATGACGAGTAGAATGATATTGAAGATGAAGTTGCCAATGAAAGAGCAGCAGAGAAAAAGGAGAAAAAAAATTATTTGAAAAATGGAAAAAAAATTGAGCAAAGAAAACAAAAAATGGCGAAAAGAGAAAAAATGTTGAAAAAATGAATCTTGTTAATGGATTTATCATTACAACCATTGAGCAAATTAACATGATAATGCATCAACATGAGAAGGTGAAATGATTCAACTGATTTCAACCAACAATGTAGTAAAATCAATCATGAAACTGCTAATGAAAAACGTTAATTGATTGAATGAGCGAGAAAAAAAGAGAAGCAAAAAAATGAAGTCTTGATAATCCATTTTGAGAGTTGACTTTTTTTGTTGCCACTCAAGACAAGGCAAGTCTTTGATGGTGTAAAAAATGGTTATTAAATGATGAGAATGATTAAGAAATGAGAAAGAAAATATTGATTAATCTGTGAATGAGAATCTCGAGCCAATCATCAGAATCTTCATTTGCTTCTTTGCTTGCAACTTGAAGATGCATCTTACAGGTCATTGATTGGTTTGCCAGTCAACAATAAGCCTTGTTATGCGAAGATGAGAAAAGGAAGAAGATAAATGAAGGAAAAAGAGAAACAAGATGAAATGAAGAAAAAAAATAAAGTTGTTGTTCATTGGTTAGATCATCAATTGATGTTTAATCATTTAGGAACATTCATGTAATATTGGATGTGTTCATGTTTTTTCTTTCTTTTTCTTCTTCTTTTCATCCTCTTTGCTCTCTGCGTCAAGTGACAGAGGAAAAAAGATGAAGCTAAAAAAATAGATGAAAGAATCTCAGATGATGTTGTGCAGTGATGATGTTGATGATGAGCGCAAACCATCAAGCAATAAGAAAGGTTAAGATGAAACAAGAGACCAGATAAATCCATTGGTAACCTGGAATATTAACCTTTTTGATTGTATCATAATAGGCTTTCTTAGATTTGCAGCTTTTCCCTTCATGTCTACCATCATCATCATTTCACTGTTGTACTCTTATCTTCAATTAATTTAACCCAAAACTGTGGCAATCATTTGAAACGAGTTTCATGTAACTGAAATGTTATATTATTCAACCTCAATCGTTTTCTCCATCATCTTTTATTTCATCTGTTACTTTCTTGAAACTTTTCCTTCTCTTTACCTTCTTCTTCTTCTTCAATTGTTAACTCTGTAACAATGAAATGTAATCAACATTCAAAATATCACTGGACTTGAGCATTGTTTTGTTATCATTTGAGTGGGCAGTTTAAAAATTAAATGCTCAATCAATTCTCAAGTTTCATGATTATCGTTTGCATAAAAAATTCATTGACAAGTTTCACCAAAAAAATGATTCGTAATATTTGCATTTTTGCAGTAAATTGAGAAAATTGAAATTGACTCAAAGAGCAATTCAAAAATTATGAATTGCCAATAGAACGAGATTTAAATGATCAATTAACATGGTAGAGTTCAAAGACTCTTGTTAGCTAACAGTTTTACAGTAAAAACTCATTTGCTTAGGTAACACGAAATTTCAAGTACAAGTATTATATTTGTATGAAAGATGAAAAGGGTAAAAAGTGGTTTTTGAAACTCATTTGTTTCAAACGAAACCTTTTCAATATGAAACAATAATGTCTCTTGAAATGTCTGCCTCTATTTATTTGAAACATCCTTTCACAATGATTATAATGAAATCAACTTTGTCATTCAATAAACTCTTGACAATCACCTTATCAATTTTCAATCTCGATAATGCAAAATAACCCAATGATGCTTCAACTGTGCAAAACTCAGGAGATGAAAGTTGCTGATTCATAGTCTTTTAACAAGATCACCTTTTAGTCACTGACATTTTTAAAGATTGACACTGCCTCTGATTTTGCCGCGGAATGACTCGATGAGATGGCGAGTGATGCAAAGTTTAATTTGACAAGGGAAGGACACGGACCTTATCTGAGGGATTTTAATGTGACATAAGGCAATCGATAGGGCAAACCGGCCATATCAACAGACTGAGTATCTTTTTTCTGTAAATTCAGTGGTTCCTTAGATTTTTGGGTTAAAAGTTGAGGCGTTTTTGTATTAAGATTGAAATTATGTAAGCTCAAGTAGCGCAGGGCAGCGCAGGGGTTAAGTGACTTGCAAAGGTTTATGGTATTTTTGGTTCGAGTCTCATTCGTGAGTTCGATTGCTGCCGATAAATGCAGTAAAAAGGCATTTAGATTGATTGAGATTAAAGTTGGTCATTTGATTAAAAGTTGATATTAACTTGATTAAGGTGGAGCGGGGGAAATGATTTTTAATTGCAGATATCATGTTGAGATTAATTGTAAATACTTTTGTTTGAAATGTGAAATGCATATCATTGAGAGAGAAATGGCAAGAAAGGTAAATGATGATGAAAGGTATACTCTTGTACAAGGTCAACTTGATTTGTTTTTACCTTTTTGTTTAACAATAGTCGTTTTTTTGCCTCATCAGAAGGTAAAAAAAGAGTCTACAGATGTAAGCTCAGTTGTAATTTTTTTGTTCAAACCTTTTTTTTCATGGTAATAATGATGATAATGATAATGATGATACAAATGACAATGGTGATGATAAGTTGAGGATCATTTTTGGGCGTCGCTGGTTCAGAGTTTTATCATCATTTTTTTTGTTCCTCTGTTGTTCTTACACTTGTTCATAAGTTGACTTATTATTGAATATGAACATGTTTTTATGGGTGAGGTTAGGTTCATGAATTCATGTTGAACAACAGAGAATATTTCACTCATTTGTGATGAAAATGATGAGAAAGGAAAGGGCGTAAGTATGGATGAGTTGAAGGAAGGGGAAAAGAGAGAAAGTTTGAGGTTAAAGATTTTTTTTTCTGCTTTAATGATGAACTTGTAAAGGAATGGAAAATGTTTGCAAGAATTGCTCATTTTCCTGGTTAAACATGTTCATGGTCAATATGATATTGATAAGTGAATGAAACCTCGTGAATAAGCTTTTGATTTGATGAAATTATCGAGTGAATCAGATTAAAATGATGAGAAGGAAGAGGAAGAAGAAGAGGGCGAAGAGCAAATAAGATGAAATATAAACTGGTGAATCTAATAAAAGCGTAATTAAATGATCCAATTTAAGGTGAATTTTGGCTCCTCAATAAGATGATGGATTTCAATGAATAGCAAGAATGATGATGAAGATGAAAAAGCCAGGGAAAAGTTGATGATGCAAAAAGATGTTCAGTAATGAATAGCTTTCCACAAGATTTGATTATTTCATTCATTTGTACCTAATCTTGTTTCAAACTAACGATCTTTAGAATCGGGTTTCATCATGAATAACCCTTTTCGTCTCAACTTTTTTCTTCTCTCGTAAAATTTCATCAACTTATTTACTTGAAATAATACTTTTTTTCATGGAGCTTGTTTTGTTACTTACTGAATGCTTCTTTTGGGTTTCCTCGGTAAATCCAATCATTCTCGTTCTGATCTTTGCTTTTGCTCTTCATTTTTTTGTTGTTGTTCACTTTTAGTCTCACTTAATGATCATTTGATGATGAAGACGTGAGATGAAAAAGTAAAGTGTCAAAGTAGGAGGTGAAGAGTGTGTGTTTGTGTGCTGCTTCATGTGTGGGTGAGGCAGACAAGGAGAGGAGGTGAAAAGTGTGATTCAAGATGAGATTTGTTTCACTCTGTTAACTGTGAAATGGGTTGTGTTTGGTGTTCAATGCTTGTTGAGTCTTCAATGAGTCGTGTTGACGTTGATCGGTCTCGTTGTTAACCTTGTTAAATCCGTGTGTTGAGTTAACCTTTGGGTTTCATTGACGGCAACTAGTAAACTTGCATATGATGAATGAGAAACAAGAGTGAAATGTGAAAAGTGCTCAAGAAGGAAAAGGAAACGAAAAAGAAGAAAAAAACATTTTTCCTTTGATAAGATAACATTGATAAGTAAAGGTTGACAGTCTTGCACAATGAAAGTGTTTCAACTGGCATCGAGTAACCCAACTGGTGTGGTTGCAAGGGAACGATGAACGTTTCCTTCGTTGGCTACTCGAGACACTTTACAACATGAATGGAAACTGGATTTACTTGTGAAAATGTCTGTTTCTGGAAAAAAAACTTTACCAACCAGGAGAGACTAAGTGAGAGAGTGAGTGAGAACGATAACCAATGAGAAATGTAAGAGTTGAGGAAGATGCAAGAGAGGGTTTGGTGAGTAAAAGAGGAAGACAAGGATGATGGTGAAGTCTAGGGTAGAGAGAGTGAGAGAGTGAGAAGGAGAAAAGTTGAAGTTTAGAAAAAAAAGGAAAGACTGAATTTCTCTTCAATTTCATGTAATCGGCCTTGTATAATATTGACGGGATCATGAAGAGATGAAACAAGATTTAATATGCGTGTGTTAGAGTGAGCCAGTTGAAGAGGAAAGGAAGAAGAGTTGAAGAGATGAAGATGGTAAAATGTGTAAGAATGTTGAATGTGGAGAAAAGTCAATAGAACCAAAGATGTATTGTTAAGTAGGTAAACTCGAAGGAACCGGTTACCTACGCGAGATTTCCTTTTAATCATCATCATCATCTTTCTCTTTCTCCATCTTCTTCTTTTCCTTCTGTGTTAATATGAAGAGAAAAAACAAAACACAAAAAAAAGAAGATGTTGAGACGTGAGTTGTAAAGTTTTTCCGAGTAAATTGAACGGAGGTTGACCTCCTACGCTTACATGATACAAGAGATGGTAAAGATGAGAAGAGATGAAGAGTGAGTAAGGAAGAAGGAGAAGGATGCTGAAATTGAATGGTGAATCAAGATTTTACTAGAAGATGATGGAAGGTGAAAGTGAAGATGAGGAGAGAGAGAGACAAAGGGTATCGTGAGAAGCAAACAAAAGGTAAAATGATGATGAAGATGATTGAGAAGAAGAAGTTAAAAGAAGATTAAACTTGTGAATTAGTGAGCTGAAAAGTGTATTGTTCTATTGTCATTTCTTCTCTTCTCTTCATCTCTATCTTCATCGTGTTCATCATCTTCATCTTCCTTTTTTAATGGCATTTCTCATCTCATGTTCACCTTAAAATTTGTGATAATTTTTGACACTTTCATTGTTGTTCAACTTTTCCCTCTTTTTTACTGTTTTTCATTTGTTACCAGACAACTTCATTACCAATGAATTGAGCTAATCGTGGAAAAAGTTGAAAGGTGAAAAAAAAAAGAAAATCATTTTCATTAATTCGTCGCTAATCGACTTAAATGCTTTTTCGTTGATTCCATTCAATTGAATCAGATAAATAATCCAATTGTTTAATCTTGTTTAGTGTATAATGAGAGTAAAACAAGTGTAATGAACTTGTACAAGTTGATCAACTCTTTAACATTCAATTGAAATTGAAACTTATAAATCGACTTTTCTTTTTTTTCCTTTTTTTCTTCTTCTCTTTGGTTCTTTGTTTTTCTCACTTTTCACATATAATTGCTCGAGTTGGGATTCACTTGCAGATGTTAAAGGGTAAACCATTTTGTGCAATTGATTGGTGAACACAAAAGGTAGAAACTCACAAAAAGGAAAATGTAAAAAAAGCTTGTTCAGTTGTAGTTGCAAGAGTAACTCTGAAACCATAAAAAAACGACTGTGCAATTGTGTTCACAAATTACATGTTTAACGATTGTTATTCAATTTTCAACCGTATTAGGTTAATCTTACCTAACCTTACCTAACCTATCAGAGCTGATATTTGACCACAACCAACAACCGAGAAGTTAACTAAGCACAAACTGGAATGGCCTTTGGAAAGGCTAACAGATGAGGAAAGGAAAGAAAACAAAAGTTCAACTTGCATCAAATTACTAAAGTCATGGGAAGTTGATTTTAAATGATGCTTGTTATCATCTTGATCCTTTATCCATTCAAAGGTAAACTTGGGTGAGGCTGAGTCAAGTTGATTACCATTTTGAGAATGCTTTTGTTTCGTTTTTTCTCTCTCTCTCTTTTCGCCTTTTCTCTTTCAAATCATTGACCAAATTTTAGATTCTTATTGAATGCAAAAATCGCAAAAATTTTACATTTCAAGGTTTACTTTGAATTGAAAGTTGAATAAACTGAGAATCGGATTGGCTGCATTTGCCTGCAATCAGTTGAAACTTTGAGTAAAAATCGAAAAGTTGATTTCGATCGAACATTTGACACAATTGAACTTATCCATCGAGTGAAAATTGAATCAAAACTTTGATTGAACATGAATGAGTCTTGAAAAGGATAACTTTTGTCATGAAAGCACATAACTCGAGGCAATGTTTTGAAATGAAAAATGAAATCAAATTTTGAAATCAATCAATCCTTCTTCGAACAACATTCAATCTTAAAAACTTTCAACTTTGAATTTTGAAAGAATGTTTGAAAACATTGAATCTTTGTCGCCATGAACGGAAATTCGAGTGAAAATGAATTCATCGTAAATGATGGAAATTTAAGTTCCAAATGTTGGAGCGAAAGAAAAGTTCCAAGTTTTCACTTTTTCTAATTTCATTATGTTCATGGCAAGTCAAGTTGATATTGATGTCAAGTGCAAAAGTGGTTAAACAAATTTGATTATTTTGGTGAAATTTATTTCTTCAGTAAATCTTGTTCTAATTATAAATTACAAGTGAGATTATCCATTGAGTGGAAAGGGTTACATCTTTAGTATTATGTTTGAATAAAAATTGAATAACAATAAATGGTGGAAGCATAAAAAGTAAATAACAGTAAATACTTTACATGAGCAACATTAAACCATTCAGAAGGCATTTTTGTCTCTTTTTTGTGTTCGAGTTGAGAGATGAGAAGAAAAGAGTTTCGTCTGAAACACAAGTTATCCATCTTGAAGTAACTACAAGATGATAATAAAATGATGGTAAAGACGGAGAAGATGGAAGAAGAAAAAAAGTTGGAAAAAAAGAAACAAATAAAATATATAAAGTTGCTCTTGGAGTAAATTTTATGATTTTTACATTTAATTTGGTAAAAGCTGTGAATGAATGGAATGCGTCTTTTTTTAGCTCAGCACTTATCTAATTCATCTAAACAAGCTTTTAATGATATTATTTGTTATTAACAATGTAAAGGCTGAACAAGCAAAGTGGGAAAAGGTGATAAACTGATGAAGAGAAGGCAAAATGTTGAATAATATGCTGCAAGAATATTGCTTTCAATTGAAGGAGAAGAAGAAAAAGAGTGGAAAAATGATGATGATGATAATGATGATGGTGATGGTGATGATGATGGTTTTGGTGAATGAACAACTTGAAATGTAAGATTAAATTTATAAAGATTGTATGAGAAAAAGGTAACTTTTAAATGAATTACCAGAATGAATTGAATGAAGAAAGGAAGAAGAAGAAGAAGGAAAAGAAAGTTGTCTTTTTTTATAATGGACAGGGAGTGAATATATGAACAGAGTGAAAGCAGATGAGACTAAATAAAGGTAATTGAAATGGTACATGGGCTTGAACTTCTTAACCACGATCAACTGCACAGACTAACAGTTTGACGAGCAAAATGTTTTTAAACAATGAATCACTTTTATCGAAACTTTCTTCTCATCGTTTAATCTTCTTCTTGAAAAGTATTATTTATGTTTCATTTGGTCAATGGTAAATATTTGAATGCATTTGAAACTTGCACTTTAAATGTCTAGACTAAATTTGCATACTGACCAGACTGATTATGAGAAGCAATTTAATATGCAATAATAAACTTAAACATTTATTTTTAGACAAAGAGAATGAAAAAACAAAAAAGAAAATGATTTTTTCTTGAATGCATCCAATAGTCGGTCATCTTTTGGCCAAAACGATGACAATTTTGTTGTTGTACTCGTTGGAGTTGAATTTTGGATGAAAATAAATGCTGTGAATGAACAGTGAAAAGACGAAGGAAAAAGCAAATGAAATGATGACCTGCTAACAGGCAATATCGATATACTTTGAGTAACATTATAGAAGTAACTGCAAGTAAAAACAGAACAAATTAATTCCCTTTTACAGGATATAATTGATGATAAACTTTTCTCTCTCATCTTCATTCCCATTGCTTGCATACCAATTGCATTTCACTTATTTCATTTCCTTTTCATTTGCACACTACAAACCATGCAAACTCTGGCCACAATGAAAAACAATAAACCTCAATCTGATTTACTCTCCATGATACTTGATTCCTCTCTCTCTCTCTCTCTCTCTCTCTCTCTCTCTCTTTCTTTCCATTCTTCAATCATATTAATTCTGTTGCACCTCATGCCGAGATCTCCATCCAACATCTACATTACAGGTCAGTGAATAAAGAATTTCATTAAAAGCATTAATCATGTTTACAATGTTTACTTGGGAAAAAATATCACATGAAATGATTGATCAGTTGAAATTCATTTTTGGCACAAAAAGATGTTCAAGTAAAGAGTCAATTGAAAATTGTTTTCACATTTTTTCTTCTTCTCTTGCAACAGAATCAAATTCTGTTGGAAAATTTTTAAACAATAAACCATGGTAAAGCTGAGAAAAATTGAGAGAAAAAAAAGTTTTCCTCTTTTCCATTTTCATCTTTTCCCTTGAATCTTGAAACCTTTCAAAGTATCATTAAAGTTGCTTATTACGATTTTAGATTAAATTCTTATTATATTATCATTAACGCCAAGTTTATTAAATCTTAAATCCCTTGATAACGGTGAGAATGTTTCATGTTATCATTTCTCTGAATATTGTAGGTTAAATGAAGAGCCTTTTAAATGATTAAATGGTGTCTATTTATATATTTTGATAACAAGTGAAACAAACAAAAATAGTTGCTATTAATATTGGAAGTGAAGCGAACCAAAATTGTGAACAAAAGTATAATGAAGAAAAAAGTAAAATAATATTAACAAGAAAAATAATCTCACATGGAAATTTATCTAATCATGATCAATAGTTGAAACTAATGGTTCTAACACTCGTCATCAATATACTTTAATTTTTCCATGGAATGGCAGAACTATCATAATCAAAATAATGACCGTTTTTTCATCCAGTACGCCTGTTTGCAGGTATGAATCACGAACGGACGGTGCTACAGATCATAGATTTGAATCATAAGCTTGCTCGAATTGAAGAACCTTAAGTTTCAACTCTCAAGATCATTCATTGTGATTTTTTGTAGTTCATTACTGTCATGTATCAAATTAGCAATTTTTATCGAGTAGAATTAAGCATTATTCAAGCAAGTAAAATATG